GAAACCTGAATATCCTTGAAATTTTAACTCCATCTTAGCTTTATTACAATAGAATTAATCAATTGTTTCCCAACTGTTTTCTGGTATGCCAAAATAAGAATTGTCTTCTTTTACATCTGTGCTACAAGGTTTAAATATTTTAGGTTTTGACCACAGTCACCTAAATAAATTCTAAAACAATTAGGAAACACTCATAGAGACACCCAAACAACCAAAGGCACCTTCCCTCCCCTATTCAGATGAGTCATTGAAATGCAAAATCACAAAATACAACATTAAATTAGAAGTCTCATTATTAACCAACTTGGTTAAGGACACAATTTGTCAACAAAAAATTCTTCACAGTAATGAAACACCTTGAATGTTCCTAATGTGACAGGCTCTGGGGTAGTATATCTGGAAATATTGAAGTAAACAATCTCCATGTGGCTGGTATGATTTTCTACCACAATGTCATCTACTCTTGCTCAGAAGAAACCTACAGGATTGTGTGCTCAAAATTGCAGCCCAACTTCTAGAACAGCTACATCATTGAATGTATGAGCTTTGTCAACCACGAGCTATAAAGATCTCCAATGCATATTACTGATGCATCTGGAAGACAATATGAACATTAGGAAAAAGTTCTTTATTTTGACAGCCATGAGAATACAGCACGATAAAGAGGATCCCTAGACTGGAAGAAAAAAGATCAGTTTGACACACTATTTGTTGAGGCGAGTAGATTTCAAAAAACAGGAGAACAAAGGGATGGAGTCAACAGACTGCTCCAAATGTCGTGTACTCTTCGAGAAGGGAACAGTGAAAGCCAGGAAATTAAAGTTTAGACACAAACATATTGAAGCTACTGATAAAAGGACTGGAAAACTGCAATTTCAACAGAAGCACCTTAGATGCATGAAAAGGGATGACAAAAGATCTGCATATCAAATGTGACCCAATGATTTAACCGAAAAGAGAAAAGCAAGAAAAAACACCTCTTTACTTCACCAGCCTCCTTCTCAGAGTATTTTGATAACGTTTTTAAAACTTATGAGGACTTGTTTGGGAGAGATCTCTGATGCAAGGGGCTGAAAACATATTTTGTTGTATTGTAAATAGAAGTGCTGAAAACGGTCATATGACCAGTTTCCCTGAGTTTGAATGAAACTAATCCTGTTAAAGCTTAGAAATATGCATGACTCAGTAGCCAAAGCCACGTGCGTATCTGCCCTTACAAAGTTTCTGCCACCTTTCATTGTCCAAAAGCGCTGTGTTGCTGATTTCTAAATGGCCTCTATTGCTTTAATTTTATTTCCAGAAACAAACTCAAAACATTTCATCCTAAACTTTTTTTTAAATAAAAAGGCATTTTTAGAAGCAATTTTTGCATCTATCATGTATACAGTTCCCATTTGGACAAAGTCTGAAGTAAACTCAGCAGCTTACGATATTACCATTGTGCAATTCTACTACCTTTATAACTTTATTTTTTTTCCCATTATCTACCTCACTGCTCTGCTTCACTCTTCCATCTTGTAAAGAGATTAACTGTATTCTGTAAATATTTACTATACAGTCCTGGCTGTGCTGGAACAGAAGAAATATTAACTTTAAAAAAAAAAAAGGTACCATGTGCCTATAAGAATGGTGGAATGATTTCAAATCTCAGTGCAGTCATGAATGCACTAGGTTTCAAGTATCAAGAGAAAATAACCACGTATTTGCTATCAAATTTCTAGTTTCTCAGCTGTAAAGATGAAAATGATACACACCCTTTCTAAACCATGGAAGAGTACAATCCATCAAATTCTAAAAACAAACACGCACACAAATATCGACTAAAATAAATCCTACTATTGCAAGAAACTGCCAAGATCCACAACAGAACATGGTTTTTTAGCAGCTTTATAAGGCTCAGCCAGGACAGGACAGCACAGAACATAAGCCAGCTCCTGCAAGCGGTTCTCCAAACATTGGAATTGATGCATGCTAGGAAGAAACTTGCAGGCTACTTCATATGGCATACCTAATGTTTTCATCCATAAATCTATCATCTTTGAGAGCTTTGCTCTCTGAAAGATAAATTATTAAAAAAATAAACTGGACAACCCTTGAGATGTTTTTGTCCTAGTGCACACTCACACTTTGGGTACACAAATGCCACTGCTGTAGCAGTATCAACAGGGACACCACACACTCACTCTCTGCCTTCTTCAGAGAGAGATGCTTAATATAAAGAAGCAGGAAAGCTTCCAACCTTCACTTTCTCAGCATCACAGATTATTAAAGAATATGTTATGTTTACATTGTAACAGAAAACCCTTGCAGTTAGAAGAAAAGAGACTGGAGAGGTTTGTTCTGCCCCTATACACTATGGGTACAGCAAACAACAAAGGAAAATGTCTGGCCCTGTAAATAGTCTTAAAGCCAAAGGAAGAAAAATAAAATCTATTTTTCATGATGAAAGAGAGTACAATCTGTAATACAAATGTGAAAAGGCAGGAACAAATTCTAAAACAGTATCTCCATAGACAAATAAAAAAATAATTCATCATTTCTTAAAATAGTATTACGCACTTATTTCATGCTACTTAAAGGTAATAACGTCAATGAGCAAGAGTGTTAGTGGATTCTCAACACTTTTCAATGCTGCAAACAGGTATATACACTGAGCTTTGTTTGAGCCCCTTCTTGATGGCACCTGGTATCCTCCAAGAATATACTTAATAGGTCAATGAATTACCACTTTGTACCTTAGCACACACAGCAGGAAGATCTAAATGAAAGCAGAAACAATTCTGTTTCTTGGTTATGTGAAGGTTGATTTTGTTTCAATATTAAAATGTCTTTAGTAAATATTAGGTATACAAGGGCACTTAAAATGTTTATAAGGTTATATACAGTTGAAGATGTCACAAATTTACAGTGGTCCCATCCAGACTACACCTGTGTATCTATATCTATTTACACTTATACATACACAAAACTCCAGGGAAGTAAAGTTTTAAAACAGATCTGAGAGACCTGTGAAGCTGCCCACCTGCCTTGTGAGCCAGACCTGCATTCTCATGGTCAGTGCCAATATACAACTAGTATTTTTTCTGTATTCATTGCGAAATTGATGGGATGCATCACTGAATTCAAGTTTCCAGTGCTGTGCTATTTTGACCCTCAGACTATACCATTCAGTTTCTTAATTCCAGTAAAACTTACTTTCTATCCTGAACAAGGCATGAGAAGTGAAATTTAGACCTGCTTGATATGACTATTCTCAAAAGTTTGTTAGCTATTACTCCTCTCTCTTCTGTCAGGTACAAGCTTGTCCATCAGTTCATTGTACGAAAAAACACAAAAATTAGGCTGACTGATGTTTAATACCCATTTTTAAAGATCTGTCACTCTGTTTGTGCTTTTCCAGCCTTCCATAGCTTCTGCCAATTCTTTTGAGTATTGTAGAATAAATTTGATCAGTTGGTTCAAAAATGTCCAACAGACCTAGAGTATCCTCTAACCTGGTCCTTCCTTGTTATAGCACGAGATCCTACTCCTTTCCAATTGATATTGGCTGCATTAGCCACAGACTGCAGTTGAACTTTTCAGTGAAGAAACATGCAAAGACTTTGGCTTTTTTCTTGGCATCTGTTTGCAATTTTCCCTCTTTGTAGTAAACTAAAAACCTTCTCTTGGCTACCAAGACAAGCCCTGTCTACCCAAGACAAGCCTTTCGTAACTAGTATTGGAAATCTGTATGCCTCTGTATCCATTACAGAACCAGTTACTTAGTTTGGTATAAATTTCAGGGTCAACACACAGCTTAACACCTTCCTCTTCCATGAACATAATTGTCTTTGTAAAATACTTACTGTCAAATAAAGTTACAATCTCTACTGGAAAAACAAGAAGCCAAGAGAGAAATAACTGTGGAAACCATCCTCCTGGCTTCCAGAAACTCACTTAAAACACCTAATCAATACAAACAAAAAAAAACAGGATTCACTATTCTTACAAGCATCAGGTACTACAAAGTAGCTGCCTTGCTTTGGAACAGAATGAGCTTAGCATTATCTTTGGTTTTGTATTGATCTAGTCTGTGTTGAAAGCTGTCAAAGCAATCAAAAAAAGGGTTGTTATGGTAAGCTACAGATAAAGTGGCATTTTACATAATGTGTTGCTTGTCTGTTAATGTAAGCTTTATTATTTTCCTTTTTTAGCATTATGTAAAGATGAGATAGTAATGAACTGAAAAGGCAAAGAGGAATGCAGCTGATAGAAATTTCCATCCCTTCTTTCAATTTCAGGAGACAATTGACATAAGTCAATGTACTTGACTTCATTCTCATAAATAAAGACTAGTCACAAAGCCACAGTCACACCTTATTCAAAGCAAAAGATAATAGCAATTGTCAAGCTGATCAAACATTAACATTAGTAGGTAGAGTAAGCCTGAATTTAAGATTTACTGAAAATGGTAATGTGTTCCACCTATGCACCACAGACAAACCAATAATACATGACAGAGTTTCTAGCCATTGCATATTATTTAGGACAGATATTTGTATATATCGTCATGTATATCCAATAAGTTGAGCTACAAAAATTGCATTTGTCTGATGTAACACAGTACTGTGAAAATTTCCTCGAAATAGCTAAAGAAAAGTCTAACAAGTAACAGCCTGCGACACATGTCAAAAACACATTCATGCTAGAAAAGACATCAACTAGTTGAAGACAAAGCCCTTAACTTCCAAAACTGAACACCAAGGGAAAGGCTTGAATTAGATACAGAATCTCTGAAACCTAGCTAAGACAACAGATCCGTGTTCTTCCTACACTTATGACTCTCCCAAAGAAACCAGTAGCAAGAATAGGTAAACTGAAAAATAAACAGCCTGCTGGGTCGGCATAAAATTAACATTATCAAATGTACAACTGGAACAGTTCTTTACTAGTTTCACTTAATACAAGAATTACTGTAACTCTTGCAAACATTCAAGTAGAAAATTAAAAATAGAATTTACCTTTGAAGGTCTCAAGTTCCTTCCTGTTGGAGAAAAGCAGAATTTAAAAAAAAAACATTATTAGGAATACTACATCTAGAACTACGGGAGATATTTTACACAGTTTAAGACTCATTAAAAGACAAAAACCAAAGAATTTTATTATCATCATATATAAGGGTAATATTACTACGTGTGTTTATCTAAAGCAAACACTATCAACCTGTTTAGAAATTAGGCTACCACCTATTTATAAACATGTACAATTATACAAATATTGCACATTTATATCTTGCCACATAATTTCTAGATACACTCTTGCAAAAATAACCAAGACTTCTTAAGGCTTTAGGTACTAAAACATCCATTACTTAGCAGAGCTTTGCCAATTTACAGCACAGTGAATAACAATTAGTGTTCCGTTTTCATCAATGCTATTCAAAATCCTTTTGGCAACAGTGAGGGAGAAAAATTTGACAATATCAGTCACTCAGTTACAACACACTTTAAAGGCAACAGATGCATATAGTGACATTCCTCAGAGGAGAGGATTTTAAAGTACAGAACGTGACAGATAACCCACAATACTCACGCACCAGAAAGCTAAGAAATTAAGTCAACAGCAATAGTATCTCTTTTCCTTCATCCCAGGCCACCTTCCACTTTTAGTAGTTATGCAATTGTGAATGCAAAGGCTATAAAACTACGAGAAGTTTTTTCTCTGTTTTCAAGAAATTGCAAAATGCTCCATTTGCCATTGCTATAAAGTAGTGATTTATCATGAATTTAGAGGCTAAAGAAGAATCAAAGTAATAGCTTAGATAAGGCAGAATGCTGGCCTTTTCCTTACAAAATGCTTATTTATTACAAACATCTCTTCAGTCTATGCCTTGCAGACTGCCTAGTTAGATTCTGAATTTTGAAAGCAAAAGTGATTATAAGAAAAATAAATTAAAAAAAAGACTGAACTAACAGTTTTCCAGCTAAAGGATTCTATTCGCTATCCATAGACTAAAGCGTGCTTCAGTCATTACTTAGCCACCTACCATATACGCTGTTTCACAATACATAAGCTACATCATAATAACTCCTTCTCCTTCCTAACAGATGATGCAATTCAGCATTTATTCTTGCATCAAGAACAGATAAAACTGTTTCGAGCCTGAAACAATTTATTTTCTAAGCAGGACAAAGTATTCTAAAAGAAGCGAGACAATACATTTACCTCCACATTTTCAGTGAACATCCCACTTTTGTCACCAAATGTCAAATACAGGTTTTTGAAAGAATGGGTGCTTTACCAGGAAATAAGCTATAGTGTGATTTACAGTAGAAAAGCCTATTAGTTGTAACTTCCTGTGAGTATCTGTTTCCCTTCCTGCTTCTCCTCCATCCCTTTCCCAAGCTAGTTTCTCCCTTTTTTACCAGAGAAAAAAGCTACTTCACAACACCTATGATTTGCACGTTCACACCCTAATAAATTTTTCCTACCCTGCATACTCGAAATATAATTACAAAGTTCTTAAACTCTCTCACAAGTTGCACTCATTTTTTAATAATGACATACTAGTTGAGAAAACAACAATCACAGGAAATGCTTGTTTTCCACAGACTGAAACAAAACCATACGGAGGAAACATCTTGTGAAAGTAAGAGGAAAAAAACTACGCTACTTGCACCTAAAATCAGGAGGTCTTGCGCAACTTGTCTCCAAAAGGGAAAATGAAACAATTACTGTCATTGTGTTCAAACAGATTAGCAAACAAGATGGTAATACAGGAACCAACTGACAGTGATATTCATTGCTTTTGTCTAAAACCCCAGAATTTTCCCTTTCAAAATCCATCAATATTTTTAGGGTTGATGCATTAAGATGCTGTCACTATATCCATATATATATAATTGCTATTCATTAAGAAAGTTGGAAATTAATATTTGACAAAACTTTTTTTTAGAACACATACTTCTGAAAAATTTAAAATATCTACGATTAGCATACAGTAAAAATACAGATTTGGAATCTAAGGATCTGCATTTCCTAGTATCCTCATACCAATTCAGATCCAAAGACTGATGATTCTTTATATTTTAGACAACATGAATGAATCAATCGCATCTTGCGGTTTCTCACAACACTCTTAATAAAACATACATTTAGAAATATATATTAAAAAACATGCTCATTGAAAATATGCTCTGCATCAGCAACATGGAGGATTTTTTTTTTATTTAATCAAGTTATCTAAATAAAAACTTGAAGTTTTTAGATTTTAATCCTAAATCTCATTCATCAGCAGCTTTGGTAAGGACCAGAGCCTAAACTTAAAGTGGAAAGGAGACTATGACTTATAAAGACACTGGAAGAACAGACGGCTTAAGATTATATCAGTACATTTTCTAAATGTGTAATTACAAAGTTCTAGACAGATGTACAGAAAAAAAACGTATTACAAAGTATTACATTTCTCCTCCCCTTTGTCAGTAAATAAATATTTTTGCATTTATTGATAAACTGCCAGGAAGAAGATACCTCCTACATCTTCTCTAGGAATCTAGAGACAAAAAATAATCTTCAGAAGTAAATACATTGAACTCACATTAAGAAGGAAGCTGTGTATTTGGAACACAGACACTCTATAATAGAAAAAGCAGTTAGCTTGAGTAATTAAAACAAAAAAAGATTAAACTGAAAACAGTTTTGGAAAACAGTCATCTTCAAAACAAGGTTAAAAGGCAAGCAGGAGGAAAAACTTGCATTGGAAGTAGGCCTGGATGAGTAGCTAGGACTGCTGCCTCTTACTATTTTAGATCTTGCCATATTAAATTACCAGCTTCGATGCTATATATTACATTTTTGTATTTGTTTTTCTTTTACTTTAAATTGTTCATTCTTTGAGATCATTTTTCACATTAGGTTTACACAAAAGCTACAGCAGCAGAGCTCAGTCTTTGATGGATAGCTTACTAACAACATCATACTAGAAGACAAAACTGCAGTACAATGAATCATCTCAGCAGAAGAGTTCTGTCAACTGCTTCAGCTCAAAAGTGTATTACCCTATACATGTTTTCCACAGGAAAAGGCTAGCCTTCCCCTCAACCCCATTTGTCTAACTAGTTTAAGGCAATTGAAAGCTTTCCAGAGAAATGCTCCTGGATTTTACAGAGTTTTTGTCCAAAAAAATTAATGCACTTCACAGATGGATGAAGTAATCCTTTCCATTATTATTAGAAAGAAAACACACACCTGCCTTGCCCCTAGCCTCGCTACATATGAAGGCTCTTGAAGCCCAGTGTGGGCTGCTCAGCATCGCTCCAGGGTTAAAGGAACCCCCATGCTGAGTCTGACCACTAATCAATACAACCTACTACTATTTGGCATCTGACTATATGCTCTTTTACTTTAGTGACTAAATTTTGGGTTAGTGCCAACAAATCTGGCAAATTACACAAATAAGAATATTCTTTGCTTTTTTATAGTTAACAGTAAGCTTTCAGAAGAAAGGACTTAATTAATAGTTGTATTGTAATATAATATAAATAACTCCTCTCAGTGAAAGATGAATTTTAGTACCACTGAGCAAGAAAAAAAGGCTAAAATAACAGGCTAAAGGCTAAAGTAATTGGACTATAAAGGCATGGAAGCACTTTAAAAGTAATCTTCTTCTGTGTGCAGTGCAACTTATGAAGCCCAGCTTCTTTCCTGAGAGGCAAGAGCCTGTACAGGCTCCATCTACCCTGGAGTTAGGCCCACAAAAACTGTTCGGCCACACATACAGGCAACAATTTTAATCTCTTCCTCTCCAGTTGCTTGTTTTCATAAAATAGATGGGGTCTTAATTACTCTGTGAAATTCTACACCCCTCAAATTCAGCTGAAAATGACCAACACGATAGCAGCAAGTAAAGGGCAACAACTGTCAGCGATAGCAGCAAGTAAAGGGCAACAACTGTCAACAAAACCCCAATTGTATAAGCCTGGTTGCCTACTTCTTCAGGATAATACTTAAGTCAGGACAAAGATGATACTCGGGTATATTTCAATGCCAGTGTAAAAGACACGCTAATCAGATTCTCGGCCCCTTCTGAGCATGATGGACATAGGTAAACCTGACTATAAACCCCTCTATGCACCATGCCTAAAAAGGCATAGCTTATAATGTCTCATGGTTCAAAATAACCTAAAGAAATGAAATCAAAGCATTGTTCATGCAAGAGATGCCGTTGAGAACTTCTCTGAAACATCTCATCAAAAAAGAACTGAGCCACAGGTATAGAGGAAAAGGATACATATAGACATTGAAAAAATACAACACTCCACTTTAGTCTGAAGTATACCTTTTATACAATTTTTTATTTGCAAGAAGTACAATGAATTCTGAAGCAAATTAAAACTGTACTGCCTTGAAGCTCTGTTGAGACAGGATAAGTCTTTTGAATTATTATTCTTAAGTTACCTGGAATGTTCTGACTATCATGTTGTCAGAGGTCTCAACTTCTTAATTTACAGAAAAGTTGAGCTTCAGGGTTTGTGGTGAAAAAATATAATTTTGGAGACAACAGGTGAAACAAACAGTCTACAATATATAACTATTCCCACAGAGTAACTGACACAACAAGAACTTACACAAATAGTTAGAAGGCAAATATAAATTCCCAATTACCTTCCCATTCCCCTCAGGCTTTTCATTGCACTGTTGGATTAACCCTGCTTTAGTCACTGGGCAGAAGAGATGGACGCTAGGAAGAAGATTATATTGGTTATCACTGATGAACAAAAATAAATCCAGAAAGAGGAATATGGGAGGAGGAGTCAAAACTATCCTGCTTTAAGTTACTGAAATCAATGGGAATTTAGTTTGTACAACAAAAGTAAGACAAAGTTCTCAGGCTCTATCATGCAAAGGGCTGTAACACTAAGATCCATTTTCCAAATGTAACAAAACACCAGGGAATTCAGTTAAATACCTAGAGACCACAGAAACACCACATTCTTTACAATGATGCCAGCAGCCAGAATTGACAGTTCCATATTTTATCTTCAA